CAAGAAACGCACGAGTAAATTTGGAGATTGGATTCAAAACTCAGAAATGGCAAGTTTTGAGGTGTTTTTGGTGATTCTGTGTTCTTGGTGTTTTTAGGGCTTAAGCATGCGTGAGATTTGTGGCAAATAACTTGTGTATGTATAAGCCAAAAGTCTTGAGTGCTTTGCAGAGTCAGAAGTACAAGTTACAAGCTAATTGTTAGGTTACTTGATTTTGAAGAAAAGTGGAAAAACAAGTTTTAATGTGTAGTACAAGCATGGGTTGGGTGATTGTAAGTGTTGAGATCAACTTCTCTTGAGTTATAAGACATGTATGATCAGAAAAGAGCAAGTTCAAAGCTCAAGAATAAATTTTATGCAAAAAGCTACTTTATCAAAATGGCATTGTGCACTTTCTTCCCAAAATGGATATAAAGAACGACCTTGCATTGAATGCTTGAATTGAGACCTCTAACAGTTGTGAAAGAAATTAATTATAGAGTTTATAACAAGTTTGAGGCCTGCAAAGTAGAGGTTATGCAGCATAAGTTTGAATTTTGAATCTTGTTCATCACAAAATGACTTGTAATTCAAGTGTGAAAACCCTAACTTCATCTCTTTGATTCTCCCTACTCATAAATGATCTCAAGGAATTCTTTGACATTTTGGAAATCTTGCAATGTGCTCTACAACCCCTATTTGAATCACTTTTGAAAATTCCCCTTGAAACTATATGAAAAAGTGCCATGAAGTTAGGTCAAAATCCTGACCAAATTAGGGCAAAATTTCACTAAGTGTTTTGTTTCATGACCATGTGTTCTTAAAATTATAACTTGAGATCCAAGCACTTTTGGAAGGAGTTATGTAAAGAAAAGTTGTATATTTCATGGAGATCTACAACTTTTATGTTGAAAGTTTCTTTTGAATCATCTTGTATCATGGTGAAAATTTTGTTCAAAGTTGTGAAAAAAATAAAAAATTTCCAACACTTTGAAAAATTTCTAAGTTTAGAAATTTTAACTTTTCAAAATGAAATCTTGAATTTTTGATTTCTTGATGAATAAGTTTCATATTTTGACATGCTTTGATGAATTGTGATCTTTTACATTTGATTTTGACTAAAAAGTCAAAGTTTGACTTTTCAGTATATAGGTGGACTTTTGATCAGTTGACTGAAAATTCATCTGTCAATCCATTGGACTTGAGCAATGTTTTGAGCCATGTCATTAGGTCAAAATGATGCAATTGAACTCTTGAGATAATTCCTTAAACCAATTGATCATTTGCTAGGTCAAAAATCTAGAAATTGTCCCTTCTCAGTCAAAACTCTAATTTTGACAATTTTGCCCTTTTGAAGATTTGATCAAATTTCTTGAGGAATTGTGATCCAAATTTGATCAAATGATACATATGAGTTTAAAATGTTGATGTGGATAAAAAATTATGAAGTTTGACTGTAAATTGGCCATAGTTGACTTTTTCCCAATACAACTAATTTTTAAGTCAACTGCTCAATTGACTGAGCAAAAGTGTGATCTAAAGCTTGAAACTTGACATGAGTAATCTTGAGGGTCCATAATGATCCATGAAAGTCATATGGGTCATTGGAAGTTCAAGTATCCTTGTGCAATCTCAAACCCTAATTTTGGTTATCAGTGTTTAAGGAGGTGTCTTGAGCTGATCAACCTCAGTGCAGTCTTGAGTCAAAGGAGATCTTGTTAGCAAATTCTTGATAAGTGAGAGGAAAAATTTTAGAGTACAACAATTGATTACTGAAATTGTATTTTATTTACAAAACATATGAGATTATTTATACATCAAGAGATGTAACAAAATTTTAAACAACAGTAAAAACTAGTTTTAACTAAATTGAATTACTAAACCAATAGATTGCACCTATTAATATTTTTCCATAAATGATTTTGTTAGAAACAAAACAAAAACCTTTTAATTTCTCTCACTCACCAATCCTCTTCATTTCACCACAGTAAACCTTTGATTTTCACTCCTTCATTTGTACGGAAATTGCATTAATTTTTCAATGCGACAACCTCATCACTTCTTGTCTCTCAAAATCACTATTGTTGTTTGTTGTTGTTCTGCTCTATCAAGGTGAGGTCATCTGACGCCACAACCATCTTTATCCTTCATGCATTTATGTCAACAATAGAAAAAGAGAGTCTTGATTTCTTTTATATCAAAAGTGCTAAATTTATTCTAAAGGTCGTACATTTTGTTTCAACGAATTAATATTTGTTTTGGTTGTTTATCTGCATCCTCACCCGTCAACTGCCATATCCGTTGTTAGAAGAATAAAAATATAAAGATCAACAAAAAATAACTAAAGTTAGGAAATTTACAATCTGAAGAAGAAAAAACATATTAAAAGGGGTTAAAATAGATGTTTGCTGAAAAAATATTAGTTCAAAAATCATCGAATCTATAAAAACTATCATATTTGTTGTTTCCATCATTGAAACCACATTTTTTTAAATAAGAAGAAAGAAAGAGAAAGAGAAGAACAGAAAGAATGTAGGAGAAAAGAAAAAGAGGAAAGAGTGAGAAAAGAAGAAAAAAAAGAGTTGGAGTGAGAGAGAAATCAAAGAGGTGGAGTGAATAATAAAGTAGAAATTGAAAAAAATACTAGTTCGAATAGAACAAAATCAGAATTTGATTACAAAAAATAAAAATTAAGTTAATTCACAATTCCATAAGTGTAGGAATTGTAGCAAAAGATAGATAGGAGAATTTCAGATTTGTTATCTTATATTATACATACTGAGATATGCTAAGATGTTCTAGGATGTCCTTAGAAAATTCATTATATGCGTTCTTACCAAATTAACTAAAATATTACTATCCTGATATATTGGTGAAAAGAAAATTTTTGTAAATGGAAGTTTTTCTATAATTTCATGCATCAACATCTATGTCTAGAACAGTTCAAAAAGTTCATCTATATCTAGCTAATCCAAAAATTTATAATCAAAAAGGATTTACATAATGAACTACTATTTTAAATAAATGTCTGTTTGTTCGAGCGTTTAAAAACAAATGCACGTTTCACCTGCTCTATTTTCTAACTTATTTTTCAAGTTGAAAAGTCCCACTGTTCCAAACTGACACTAATAATACCATAAATTAATCAATTGTATGTCAATAAAAACTAGCATTAAGAACATAAATATAATTAAAATAGATAAACTATAATAGCCTTAAACTCAAATCATAATATAAAAGGGTTTCATCAAAATATAAGCATCTCCATTAAAGCTTAAATACTCATTGATAAAATAAGGGAAATGTGCTCCACATCTCTAAAAAATTTAAGAATTTATTTTATGTATTTGAAGATACATCATGTAAAATCACTTTAATAAATACGTTAAAAATAAGACACTCTTATTTTATCTTTAAAAAATTGTTTGAAAATATATCTCTAGAATTTAAAGATGTATATCTCCGGAATCCAAAGATACACTTTCATAAAATTTGTTCAATTATGCATCTCTTTTAACATTAAACCTTTGTGTGTTTAGATCGGTGGTGGCCATAATTTATTTTGACATAATTGATTTGGTAAATTAATTTTAACATAATTGAATTTAATAGAATTGATTTATATTTTAATACATTTATATAAAAGTGAATTGAACAATAAAAAAATCACTTACAAATTCTAACTTCAATTAGATTCATTAAGAAAACAGAATCAATTCTACTTCAACAGAACCATACACCTCACAATCATTTCAAATCAATTCTGCACCTTTAAAATCGATTTAGCTTCTTCCAAAAATCAAACCAAACATACTATTATAAGATACTTGAATCTCCCGTCTATCAAGTAGACAAGTTAGTCCTTGAATTGCACCAAGCAAAAGAAGCAGAAGAATTGCAGTATTCCAATTCCTGAATTGCAGTAGACAAGTGCTCCAGACTTTGATAGTAAGTGTGAAACATATATCGGTGAAATCACCAACAGATTGTCGTAAAAAAATTTAGTTATGTTCAGTGAAAAAAATCATTTGCTATAGTTGAACTGTAGGTTCAGATTTTACAAAAATATACATTTTCGAACAATTTTTTTTAATAAAATAGAAGTGTTTCACTTCCAAAATACTAACATGTATATAAAAATATGTACTCAACGCCCAGAGAAAATATATCTCCAAACGCTGAGGACCGTTGACTTTTCTTGATTGTGAGGAGCACCTTAGATAGAAAGAACAACTCCCTAAAATAAAGTAACATGAAAAAGAAAATAAACCCAAAAGTCAACAAAACTGTGAATGGAAAATTACAAAGGAACTAGGCGACAATCTAACATTTCCTGTGGACAAATACAGCACTTTAGAGAAGGAAAAGTCAACATATTTGTTCAAAGTTATGAAGTTTTTAAAACATTGAATAAATGTTTAGGTGATTTCAACAAAAGAATTATTGAAAAGCTTCTGCTACTGAAGAGTAAAGAAACTTAATGCTATAATGATTGGGGGAACTACTTGGTTTCACTGGAGTTTATGCAATTGAGCTCAATGATGAACTATCAAAGAAAAACAAATTTGTTGCTCTAAAGATCAAAAAGCAAAGAAGCTTTAAAACCAAAATCCCTCCAAACTGAAGAACAGTCAGATGAAGATGATGCATACTGTAATACCGTTTACCCCAAAAGCATATGAATAAAAAAGAGTTATGCTTAGTGTACCTTAATCTGATTGAGTTAAATCAGGAAAACATGTAAACTTGGTTGAATTTGTGAACCATTTCTTAAAAAATATAACAATATTCTACGGGTCTAAGTCATGTGTCAAGAGAGCAATCTCAAACAATGTTCTCTATATATGCACAACAGCTGTGAGTTATTTCTTTAGTTATGTGGTTTAACTCAGCCGTAGCCCAACGGACAGAAAAAAAAAACGTCCAAGTATTAAGAAAGGCGCAAAAGGTGCAAGGAACTGGTAACTCAGAAAATATATCTTTTGGGTGTAACACTGGTGAAAACAATGGTTAATGCCAAGTCATAGAGCTGCCATCATCGTTCCTCTGGCTGCCTCTCGCTTCAGCTCTGCAGCCTTACCACTTCCACGGAAGTACATCAATACTTGCTGCAAGCAAACATAAATCAAAAGTCAAACAAAATGCCACAGAAGATTCAAAAGAATACCAAGTTATTGCTGTTACAGAGATGACATTATAATAACCTGAAAAACCCAGATGCTCATCAGTGATTCAAGACAGAAAAATGCGAACCCAATAAAGTAGAATACCTGCAATTCAGCACAAGTATTAAACATCCCTTAAACTTGAAATTATAACTTCAAAATATACCTATATCTGAAACATGATGATAATATACAACTATTGAACTATCCATGAAACTTGGGAACTATAGAAGTTATGAAATACATAATTGGAACATACCCCAACCAATGCACTGCCACCTATCACATCAATTGCAGCCAAAATACCTCTGTTCATATTGTAACAGTATATTACAACCATTAGTTTGAGAACAAATAGAATAACAAAAATAAAAAAGACTTTTTTGATCATATTGCTGAGTTACGTCAAAATCATGGCGAACATACAAACAAACCTAACACAGCAATACCTTAAACTGATTATTATTATCAGGAAGTTATTGTTTTAGTACATTGAAATTATGCAGAGTAAATTATTTCCAACTTATGTCCTTTCAGTTAATATTTTGTATCCATTCCCCAATCGAGAATCAATAAGTTCAATCACAAAATACTTCAGCAATCCCCAGTGTTTCCTTGCCTCCAGTAGATCAAATCAGTTAAAGATTCGTCACAAAATAATATCAGTTTCGAGGATAGAAACATAAAATGCAATATTAGGAGGAACTCACGTGAGAGATTTTCCTTTAAAGATAATGGGTGGAGCAACTGCAGCAAAAATGCAAAAGCCAATGTGCAACTGCTTGTAGAAATTGGAAAAAGAAGATGAGCACTTCACAATATAAGTGTAGAATAAATGAGTAGAGTGAAAAAATATATAAACTTGCCATGTAAGAGACAAAAAACCAGCCAAACTTTAGAGCACTGTCTGTCCTGTAAAGTGAGATGGTACACAATTTATAAAAAGAAACAACAATATGTATTGTAAATATTAGGCTATAAAAGTTATTTTACTTTATTAATATGAAGTCCATTAAGTTAATTAGTTTTAGATTTATCTCTTTTTAAATATGTTAATTTTAGTATTGAAAATTATAACTTTGAAATATATTACTTTTTCTACACAGTATCACAAGCTCCAAATTTTAGGGGTGCCCGGTTCATTTCGAACAAACTGTTCATTCCGCATACACTGTTCATCTCAAGGATGTTATCCATTTCACGTGCATTGTTACCACACTAGTACTATTTGTAGATCTCTTTGCAACTGTTTCCAGAAAAAATATTGTTCTCTTGAGAAGACACTTTTCCAACAATAACCAATAAGGCTGAAAATAAATTTATTGTAATTCATGCCTTTAAAGCTGTCTATACGGGCTCTAAGAATGCTTGGATCTTTGATTCTGGAGTCACTCATTGCATGACATTTGCCTCTTGATAGTTTTTTTGACAAGTATTTCTCCTTCCTGCATTTCGTAGATTATTGTTGCAGATAGTTCTCATACTCGAGTTGATGGTTATGTAGACATTGATCTTAAATCTTTTAAATTGAAAGATGTGTTACATGTTCCCCTTCTATTATAGTACAACCTTATCTCAATTCATAAAGCTTATAGAGGATAATAGTTGTGCAATTATATTTTTTAATTCTCTTTGAACTTTTCAGGATCTTGAAACGGGAAAGAATATGACTGAGTTTGAGTTTTTGATCTTTTAGTCATGGTTTCCTTAAAACACCTGCCTCAGTTCCTATTTTTAGTAAAACTATTCCTATTCCTATTGAGTCTACTTCTAAACTTGAGTTGTCGTCTATTGTGCGTGAGTGAACCTACTCCCAGTCATAGTCTTGAGTCTGCTCCTAGTCCTATTTCAGTTCCTCAATTGTCTTTTGTTTTGCACGAATCAAACTTTTGACACCAATTATAGTATATCAGAGAAAAAAATAAATTCGGTCACGAACAACTTCACTTGCCTGAGCCGGAGGTACCTAGTGAAAATGATCCTCATATTGGTGATTCTCTTAGATTTCTGATGGTTGTTATTAAGATGTGGTTGGGCCTAATTCAACCCTACAAAACCGGCTTGTAGGGTGAGGATTGCCCCCACTTATAAACACATGTTCAGGCCATATATTGTCCGATGTGGGACTCTTAACACACCCCCTCACGCCCAGGACTAGACAACTGGAGCGTGGAAATAAATGGTGGATGGTCCACTGGATCTTAAACGAGGCTCTGATACCATATTAAGATGTGGTTGGGCCTAATTCAACCCTACAAAACCGGCTTGTAGGGTGAGGATTGCCCCCACTTATAAACACATGTTCAGGCCATATATTGTCCGATGTGGGACTCTTAACAGTTGTGATATTGACCGAACGATTTACCCATTGCTTGGAGAAAAGATACAAGATTTTGTCCCTCCATGTATAGATATCATACTTCTCAATATGTTTCCTCTAAACAACTTTCCATGCGATGTCGGAGTTTCATTGCAGTTATTGATATCAAAGAATCCTATCATCTATGGAAGAAGCATTGAACTGTAAAAATTGAGCTCAAGCTATGATTTGTTGAAGCATTGAAATGAAAAAAATCGAGCTCAAGCTATGAGTGATTGAAATCAAAGAAAAATGGTACTTGGCGTTGTTGAGAGGTAGAGAGACAAGAAGCTGGTTGGATACAGATGAATCAATACTATAAAGCACAAACCACACGGCCCCCTTAATCGTTACAAGGAAATACTAGTAGCAAAAGGTTATATTCAGACATATGTAGGGATGTACACAGATTGGGTTGGACCGGATTTTGGCTAACCGGTTACCCTACATGTTCATCTTTCAACGGGGTTGGATACATCGTCCAACCCGCAATTTCCTTGTCAAACTCGAACTAAACCAACTAATAGAGTAGTATAGCTAGTTAGTCTTAAAAGAGACTTCTAACTAACGATAAATGTAAAGAAAACCACGTTAACTTAACTCAAGGAACAGTTAATGTCTCTACACCTGAGAACATACCTCCATCCAATTCAACACCTCCATCACACTTTCAACAGTGGAATGGATCTCAATTCTTAGGTGGTAGTCGTGCCTATCATGGTGGTAGAAGATGTCGCTTTGCAGATAGATCCAAGGTTTACTGTCAAATCTGCTCTAAGGCAAGGCATTATGCCAATATCTGTTATCACAGGCACTCATCCACGATGCCTATGATGCTCGCACCTACATCTTACAATAATTCTCGGGCATGGAATGAAGCTCCATCACTTGGATGGAATCAATGGACTAATAACCAAAATCAATGGATACCTAATACAAATCAGTGGCAACTCTCAGCTAATAGAGCATCAGATAGTCTTGCACCTAGGTTAGCTCAAATTCCTCAAGCAAGACAACTCAGGCCTATCTGATAGGCACTAGCAGTGATAGTCAAACCATGCTCGCTCCTACTACTCGGCAATGGTATCCAAATTCAGGTGCAACACATCAATCTATCAATAATTCAGACTTCTTTCATGATGGAGAAATTCTACCAGGTTCTGATCAAGTTTTACTTAGCAATGGTCAAGGTTTGTCCATAACTTCTATTGGCTCCACAAATTTTCATTCAACTCAAAAAGCGCATACACAACTGAAACTTAAAAATCTATTACTAGTTCCTAATATCACAACGAATCTTATATATGTTAGAAAATTTGCTAAGGATAATGATGTCTTTTTTGAATTCTGTGCTGATAAGTGTTAGGTAAAAGCTCATGTTCAATCTGAAATTCTCTTGCAAGGCTCTCTAGGCCCATTTGGTCTCTACACCTTTGATGGTTTGTTCAACACTACAACATCTCTCTATCTCAACACTCTTGTGATCAGTTGGTTCAGAATAATACTATGGAACCTACTTTGTACACTGTTTGGCACAGCAGATTTGGATGTGCTTGTTAACATGTCAGACGTTATTCTAATTATAAGAATCAACACGAGAATAAATTAAATATAGCAGAGATGAGGATGTTGCGCTGAATGTGTGGTAAAGACTAAACAAGATAAGATTAAAAATGACAATATTAGAGAGTGTTGGAGTAACACCTATAGTAAAAAAAGATGATGGAAAATAGGCTTAGGTGGTTTGGACATGTAGACAAAAGACCGATCGATTCGATTGTAAGGAGAATAAATCAAACGGAGAGGATTCAAACAACTAGAGATAGAGGAAGACCTAAAAAAATTATAAGGATCTGTTTGGGAGTTGGTTTTTAGAGGGTTTTGGAGGGTTGCGTCAATATCTTAAAATGTGTTTGATATTTTAAAGAAATTTAAAAAAAATATATGATTTTATATGCTAATGTAGTATATTCTTTTTTAACTTTTTTAAAATATCAAATACATTTCAAGATATAAGCACAACCCTTCAAAGTATCCCCCTCCAAAACCTTCTCCCAGACAGACTCTAATAATAACTATTAGGAAAGAACTTGAGATTAAGGAATTGGATAGAAACATAGTATTGGATAGAACATAATGGCGGAATTTGATCCATGTAGCCGATCCCATTTAGTGGGATAAGGTGATTTTGGTGTCCCCTCCCAAAAAAGATCAGATCAAGTTATTGGACAGGGTGATTTTGTACCGACTTCAATACTTATAATTACAGTTGCCTTAGAAGGCTCACATTCTTCCTTCAAATCATCCAGATATAGAAACTGCTTTTATTCGTAAAGTGTTGTGTTTCATAATTGACTGAAGCTTAGCTAGAGGATATATATATATATATATATATATATATATATATATATATATATATATATATATATATATATATATATATATATATCAATTTTTACATTTCCTTTTAAAGCTAAACAAGTAGGCTGGAAAAATCTTGAATGAATATCTCAATGCTAAACTAAAAAAAAATACTAAATCAGATTGAACACTACCTCATAGCGCGATAAAGGGGGCGATACCACATTACATAGGATCCTGGAGCACCAGAAATAAAATATATAATAGCAAGAAACCAGATGGTTGGACCTGCACGGCAAGAAAAAACCTTTGTAAATGAAGCATGACCTAACCATATTGATGGTACAATTTTCAGTTATAAGACAAACCTTCTCCTTTGATCCAAGCAGTGGTAACTGCCACTATATTCCACAAAAGACACAGAACCAAACCTGCAGATTATTACTAAGTTGTAAAACCAAAATACAATTTAACAATAGTCAAAGATAATAAGAAAAATTATGCTGTTGAAATTAGTGATTTAGATAGTGGTGGGGAAAGAGAGCATGACGTAATGAATTATTTCAATTGATATTTATTGGATGTGATACTAACACCGATTTATACCATTACCAAATTCAATTCTAATTATATTAGAATTCAAATCATGAAATAGAATAAAAGTAAATATAGAAATCCCTCCTAAAATATTATCCAAGATAATCTAAAGTATTCTAAAATACAATAATGATTGTTATAAACTCGAATATGAATAATGCACTTCTAGTGAAATGGAGGCAGGATACTTTTATAATGGGTTGTAAGGGGAAAAAGGAAGACTGACCTCCCAACCTAAAGGAAAATAAAATAAAAAGCATTATCCAAGGCTGGCCACACACGGAAATAATGCATTTAGCAGAAAAAATATCTACTAAACTGAAACTCGGTTCTCCTTTCCTTCCCAATTTATATTTGCTCAACTTTGTTGACGACACATTCTCCAACAATGCAAATGGTGGGCTAAGAATTAGACTTACGTTGTTCTCATCTATGGTGAAAGTGATTTTGTGAAACATAAAGGGGAGAGAGCTGATGGGAGAAGAAAGTTACAGTCAAGATTTCTTGTGGGGGAAATTGTGAATTTGAAAATTGAAAGCCTTTATAACAGTATATTTTTATTTCCAAGATGTCATGGTCCATGTTGAACCACATGTGGATTGATCCACCCTAGAATTAGCCATAGCATGGCTAAATGTCAACCTACTTATAGATCTCTAAAAATTAGGACAAATAAAGCTGCTTCATAATTAAAAAATTGTTGAAGAAAATTTACATTCTTTTATTTAGAAAATGATGCAATTGATTGCATTAGCAGCTAGCAATGCCTAATTTTAAGACACGTGAATTGCTTTAGTACGTGATATGTTCACAAAATGAAAACATTATCAACAAAGTAGAATATAGATATAGTTGAAAGCATATTTGGTTTACTTTATAACAACTACGACAACCACCACCAAGCCTTATTTATCTCACTAGGTGAAATCGGCTACCTGAATCAAATGCCACATAATTTCTTATTGCATATTAAGTTCAAAGATGGATTGTTAAATCTCAAGGGACAAAACAGAAACATCGGGAATTTGTTTTCTAACTATGTTGTATATACTTGAATTTTGTTGTTTGGCTTGTTTCTATGTATATAACCTACCCTATTGTACTTCATATAATATAATCATACTTGAAGAGTCAAGGGAGGAATTAAATGAGGTTGGAGACCTGGATAAGAGACTTAAAAATGTATGGCTTCCGCCTGAGTGCAAAACTAAAACAGAGTATATGGAATGGAAGTTTAGCAAAAGGAGAAGCATTTCTAACTTAGAAGTAAAAGTTTGAGATCATATCATACCACACAAGTTATGTGGTATGTTGGATCTTTGATCCAAAGTACAAAACGATAGAGAAATATAAAGAGCCGTAAGCCATCGAATTCAAGTTGGCTGGTTGAAATAGTGGAGAGGAGAGCCCTCAGTGTTTAATGTCATGCAAAAGTACCGCTCAAACAAAAGAGAAAACTTTATCGGACACATGTAAGACCGGCCAATGTTGTCCAGGACAAAATGTTAGACCGTAAAAAACCAACACAAATAAATTAAATGTAAAAGAGATGAGTTTGGTGCATTGCATCTGTGGTAAGACTAAACGAGATAAAATTAATATGACAATATTAGAGAGAGTGTTAAGGTCGCAACTCTAGAAGAAAAGATGATGGACACTAGGCTTAGGTAATTTAGCTTGTAGGGAGAAGACCTGGAAATTTTGTAGTAAAGAGGATAGTCAAACTGCTAGAGGTAGTAGAGGAACACCTAGAAAAACTATAAAAAAACACTATTAAAAAATGATAATGATAACGATAACGATAATGATAATGATAATGATAATGATAATGATAATGATAATGATAATGATAATGATAATAATAACAATAATAATAATAATAATAATAATATAATAATCAGCAAGATAGTGATAGTTATGACCTGAAACATTCTAGAGAACAGTTCTCGAGTTCAACATACCTAACCACGTTGTAAATGCAACATACTGCATCCTTTGAAGATGTATTGGTATTTCATTTCCAATGTCATGATGAATGATGGGAAAAAAAGGTGGCCAATTTTTTTCCTCTATTACAATACCAGCTGCAAAAAAAAGAAATTGTAAGACACCAAAATAAAGAAATTGTTTTTGGTGGTTTCTTTGTGAATAGATGAACTAAAATACCTCGAGATATGGCGTCCTCTCTTCGTTTTAGTTCCTATAACATATCATGAGATACATCAATTTCCTGGCACTACTAATGATTGTATATCGCTATGGCCAAATAAACTTTTACAGTAGGTCAAGGTCAAAGTAAATAGGTGTGGTATTAAAATCCTGATATGAAAGGTAGAGGTAGAGATAGTTTATGTACGTAACTAAATACTCAATAGAAGGTTTATCCTTATACAAATGCAATACATTAAAAAGAAGAACAAGTGCCCAGTGGTCATGCATCAAAGAATTAACATAAGCTCCATTTGCTACCAGTTACGTCCTTAATATAAATCAACAGCAATAACTTATCAGCACCTATATAAAATAATAAAAAAACTATATTGAATATGACTAACCAAGTTGCTAACTTGCATGTCTACTACTTGTGTTCTAAAGATATCGTCTATATCAACAACAAAAATCAAGTAATATGTCAGGATGTATCACCTGTTCCCTTCTTTTCAATTCAGACTCTTTAGCTTGAAGTTCCTTCTCCTTTGCTTTGACATCCTAAAAATAAGGACATATTAAACCTTGGGGCAATAACAGCATTGAGACAGATAGATTTGATATTATTATAGTTCAACATTCTCACACTCAGTCTACCTTTGAGCTATCAAGAGGGATGTCAACAGTTGCCCCACGATCATAAGGCTCAGGAGGAAGGGGTGAGAGCCTTGAGGTCGCAGAAGGAACACTTCCAGGGTTCTTCAAGTTCAAATAATTAAATAGTAAATTTATAAACAATAATTTTTTTGCTTTATGTTTCATGTTTGAATAGAAACAGTTTTAGGAAATGAGACCAAACGAGAAGAGAAAAAAGGACACCAAATCATTTTAGTTGCTAACTGCTCCCTTATATTATTTACAATAATTGCTCTCTTTATAAAGTTGACAAATCATCAAAAATAAATGGTCTGAAATCACAACCAAACATTTACACTAGACCTCCCAAATAAACATCTGATAAAAGACAGAAACAAAAAGTACCAAGAAAACAAAGAAACTACTGTACAAATTATTTCCACTAACCGGCTCTTTGCATTACAAAGCATAGAGCAGCATAACAATATACTGCCTCCATGATCATCAGTTTCATGGGAATAAATGAACAACTCCATGACCATTCAGCATAAAGTTTTATCTCGAGACCTCGAGTTTCACACTCTAGTTTTCCCAGCAGAGTAGGAGATGACACTAACCAGGTGAAACCTAATAGCACCCTTTCTCTCTACAGGAACTCTCCTATTATAATCTCCCATGAAAAGCTCCATAGGAGCACAGAGTTTCCTTCCATCTATAAGTCTACAATCAATCTTTTAGAAATTACTCCAGATAGTTACGCTTAAACGCAGTTCTGCCCACCCCCCTATTTTCACCCGATCAGGGAATTGCTTCCCCCAACCCCCATTTCAAAATCCTCCAATTTTGGTCCCTCCCTCAAATTTTTAAACTAAAAAATGCTAAATGATGTGGAATGATCAATATCCATGAAATTGCAAGAAAACCCCCTAAAAACACCAATTTCAACTTTATAAATTTTTCATTTTTTTTAATTTAATTAATGACATATAAATAATTAACCAATCAGGATGATTATGCATCATTCAGCCGTATGTCATATCATTTACAACATATCACATTACTATTTTTTAGTACAAATGTCTAAGAAAAGGACCGAAATTTGAGGATTTTAAAACAGGGGAATCAATTCCATGACCGGTAAAGGTAAAAAGGGGTCAAAACTTCAATCAAGTTAACATTTAATTAAGTAATTACGTAGGTATTAATGGTTATTTTTTGCTACCATGCTTAGTCCTACTTAATATTGATTAAAAAACATTAGTTCCTGGGCTGCAAACTTAATTACACTCACCCCACAAATAAAAAAGAGAGAAAATATTTCTAATCTTTTGACACTCAGCAACAAGCAATCAACTTCAACAATTGAATAACACAAATCAAGAATTACCAGCATGTGTCATTAATTATAACAAAGCTAAAACCTCTCTCAGACAACTTAAAGAAAACCTTTTCCTTAGGTGGAACCTTACCAATGAGTCCTTCTCAGCATATCAAGTAAATATAAATCTCCAGATTTATTACAAAGGGAGAAATCCTACAAAACCTAAAATTCAAATTCTAGTAACACTTATTACAGTTAAAGCCCTTGCACAATTGCACAATCAAAAAAATATAGAGGACGCGTATCAAAAGGCTAAAACAACCATTGATTACTTTGTCAAAATATTATCCTACAAAATGCTGTATGTTAATGGTATCAATTTAAGAAAGGGGGAACTTACAGTAGTGTAAAATGCTCCTCCACCATAACTTGATTGCCCAGATCCTTTTTTAGCTGTCCCATCCTAATATTATCAACAAAAAGGCTTAATGTTTTGGTCATTAAAGTAATATTCAACTAAGAAAGCAAACCAAAAAGAACTAAATATCTGCAGTTTCAAATCAACAAAGGCATAACTACATTATCAATTGTCATTTAATAATCACGAAACCCGTCTTCCAAGAATCTATAGATCCAATGTGAGAAATATAAGAATTCTGTGAGATGTCAATCTCTATATATATTCATCAAGGAAATGTCTAACTGGAAAACAAGATCCTGTCATTAACTACTGATCAAACGTGTGCAAATTTTCATGCATACTTCATAAATTGTAAGCTAGGAGTAACTCAGTCCTACAAATTAGCATGGTAAGATGAGGGATGTTTCAGCTCTAAATGTATTTTTGAGTCATATCTCATCCAACATGACTTGAATGACTTGAGTGACCTGATCGCAGATGGTACAATAGATAGGTCTTGGGTAGACTCTGATACTATCCTAAAATATAATTGCCCCTAATTTAAACCTACAAAAATGGATGTCTCCCACTTATATAAACATATTTTCAACTTGCCAATATTAACAATGTACTAGAAGACAAAATCAGATCTATTGGCATCAGATCAGCAGCACAAATACAAAAGGATTTTTCGATATCTTGCATGCTTCCAATCAATTGAAGAGCAGTGACAGAAGAAATTGTGAATTTATAATCTCAAACACTTACATTTGTTCACCACAGAGAAATTATTGAGCATCTCAAAAAGATTATCAAAATTCAATCCAACTCCAACGATAAAGCGAAAAGCGATTATCCACATTTTAACGCAATAGGGAAACGTGAAAAAGGGAGAACTAACCGCAAAGGGATTGACATGAGTCTCTTCTTCTTCGAAAGGGTTTGGATCGTAGCGGCTCATTGTATGAGAATGAAGGGATCTTCGGAATCGGAAGAAAACGGAGATAGTGCGGTTGTTTCAGTGGTTTTGTGTGCCGTACACAATGCACACAGAGAGAAAGGGCGATAGAATCTACGGGTTTTTCGCTTTCCGATTTTGTCTCTACACTCTTAAGCGAAACTGAAAAGCTTCATGCATTCTCTCTTATAATCACCGCTTCACGTTTCCAAGTACTTTTTACCTTTTTATTATTATTTATTTTTATTTAATATTTCAATATTTTTGTATTTATTTGGAACAAAATATTTTAGAACAACTTTTCTTCTCGATTACGAAAACATATTCGAGGAAAATTAATAATTTCTCACAAAGGAAACATAATAATTTTTCAAAAAAAAACATGGATTTTTTTAGACATTTTAGAGTTTTGTTGATAATTTAATATTATTTTTAAATAAATTTATTTAAAAAGTAGTATGATATTAAATAATTGTATGAGTTTAATTATAATTTTTTTTAAATAATCATTTTTTTTCAAAAAAAAAATATTTAAATAAACACATTTTCAAAAAATTTATCAAAGTAACCACTTTATAAACAAAACAAAAAAATCGTTGTATAGAGGAGTCGCCATTTTGTGTGGCGCATGCATGAAAAATGAAGAGGAGGCGTCACACTGCATGGCTTGTCCTCATATGTAATGTCATGCAGTGTGGCGCATGCATGCCAAGTCAAAGAGGAGACGCCACCTTGGGTGGCTTGACAATTGTATTTATTATTTTTTTTAATAAAAATAAAAGTAATTAAAAATATTTTTTATTAATATTTTAAATTATACAATGCATAGATACATATTTTTTCGGACGTCCCCTCAACCTAAGTGGGTTCCAGTATGACATAAACGGTCTCGTCTTTGCCTCACCCCTTACCCCACTCCTCTGTGTTGAATTTCCTGAGGTGTTTGAAGTCTGTTCTGACTCGCTTGATGATGAGGTGCTTAATGTGATGGTCCTGGTACATCAGGATCATACATCTCATCAATCATTTTGCCCCATTGTGTCGTGCTTCCAAAGAGATTGGTGCTCATATTGTTGAAGTTTGGTCTTGTTGGTTGGGATATGTGTGGGTGGGGTGGTTGATAGTATTGGGATGTTGAATTGTTTTGGAAACGAAGCAATGGTTCTTGTGGTGTATGAAATTCGTATGATGGTTGGGTACTTCGATGGTGTGGTGTTTGACTGTATGTAGGTTTGGTGGTATGGTAGAAAGTGTGAGGGCAAGGTTCCTTCAATAAGGGTTTCAATGATGTCAAAACTTTCCACTATATGTTGGAAATATTGCTAGATGATATGCTGGACAAGGAAGCATGAAAAGTCTTCAAGAATTGGTATTTTTGGAAATTTCTATGCTTTGAGTCGACTCAAAGAAAGCTCTGGTCGATGCATGATTGAAAGTTGCTCCTTGGGAAAGTCTCGGGTTTGCTCACGTCGATTGTGTGGTTGACTCAACCTGGGAGTAATTTTTAGGAACTATGCATCGACGCATAGCCCTGAGAGGTCGATGCATGGATTGAAAGTTGCGCCTTGGGAAAGTCTCAGGTTTGCTCACGTCGACTGTGTGGTCGATTCAACCTGGAAATAATTTTTAGGAACTATGCATCGACGCACAGTCCTGGAGTGGTTGATTCATGGATCGTGCACTTTGTCTTCTGGCACTCTCGGGAATGCTCAGGTCGAGTCCCCCTTTTGGCATAGGTCGACCGTTCGCTCGTTAAATCTGTTTTTCAGCTTGTTAGTTTGGGTTTTGACTTGAGATAACATATATAATCTTGTTAGGTTCTATCATTTGGTTTTTAAAATAATAAAAATGAAATAGATACACAAGGTACTCATCATTTTCAACCTCTCACTCATCCATTGACAACTACACATAATAATTTTTGTCGATCAAGGTGAGGAGCGTGTGTTGATAACGTTTGAAGTAGTAGATTACGATCTTGTTCGGGTTGAGTAATTGTGGGTTTTTCTTGAATAAAATCTGAGGATTTTGTCCTCCAAGATCATTGGGATTTGGGGTTTTTTGACAATTATTTGCTTCATCTAAATTCAACCGTGCTTAAGGGATTGAGGAACCGTAGGTTCGCTCGACAAGGTAGCTACAATCAGAGGATTATGAAGGAAGAATTGGGGTCACCATCTTGCGATCAAATCAGTCGAGCAAAGGGTTTGAGAAACAGTTTGGATTCTCAACAAGGTAGCTACAACCAAAGGTTTATCGAAGATTGATGACATACTTGGTTCAAATAAAAACAAGGGAAGAGATGAGCTTAGTTTTCAATTCAACATATTGGGTTTGAATTATGATGACTATTTTCTATCTCTTGTACAAACTTTGCAACCATAATAGCAATTATCCTAATTTTATTTCTAAAATTAGGGGCAAAGTACCCCACACGAGGACAACAGGGGGAACTTCCTAAATAAATTGCGTGTCAATTTTCTTTCTCGTCTTTTACCATTTATTTGCTATAATTTATGAATTTGCACTTGTGGTTCCAAGTGTCTGGATTTGTAGTGTGATGGAACTATTGTTAAGGACTATAGTAATCACTTTGATTGCTATAATTGGTTTTAACACTATAAATTAAGATAGATTAGACTTGGTGTGATTACGCACACCAAGTGTTTGATAAAAGTCCAAAAGTGCAAATTTGTGGGTTTTATACTCAACAATTCATTAGGAGTAATTGACTACAGTTAAAAAGTATAAGTGATCAATTATAATTGAATTAAGTGTTAATAATTCTTATTGATTCATTCCATTTGGTTTAACGTATATCCGGTCTTTTCAATAGATGATCGTTTTTAGACGAGTGTATCCGGGTAGCTTTCACTAGGTTTTAAGTTTTCTTTAAAAAATCCTTTTAAAAATCATGGTATCTATTCAATCCACATGTAATACGGTGGGAGAACTGACTTGGGATATTTTGCGTTTGATCGCAAATGTTGCGGTTAGCAAGAGTCGCCACCGACTTTTCTTTTATCCAATAAGGAAAGATTGAAAAGAACAGGAAATACCTTTGAGATTATTTTCTTGAGTTCGTGGGGTAGATTATGAAAAGGGAAGGTGTTAGAACACTTTTCATCCATAGTTATCTATGGGCTCTCAGTTGCTTGCTAGATCACTTGCTTTTGTTTGAAAATGTGCTTTGTGGTGGTTTTTGAAAGTATTTTTGAAAAGACGCCTTCGTTTAAGCAAACTTTGTAATGGTTCTTGTTTTGTAAGAATGTATACAAAGTGTTGGACTTTTAAAAATATTTCATGTTTTTTAAAGTGTTTGGTGTTTGTTTTGAAAGTGTTTGGTGTGTGTTTTTTTTGAAAGTGAGCAAGCAACTAAAAACATTTCTACCTACTCAAAAGTATTTTGTTCATTTCTCTCCTTTCTTTTGATATTGTTATCTTACCATTGATTGGTAAGAAGCCTTATCTTTGGATGTAAGGGGACGGGCGTGGGTCATCGTATAGTCATGATAGCTATGTTGTGAGATATCTTAGCATTTCTCTTTGAGGGACTAAGATCATTTGTAAGACAACATTTTTAGCGTCATCGAGGGACTATGATCTTGTATTTTTATGGTTTTTGCTAAGACGTCTCACACGCATAACATGATAATTTTTTAGGCAACAAGTGGAGTTAACCCTAGAGGTGTAAGTGTGCAAGTGTGTTTGATTTGCATGCATTGTTTATCTTGAATTAGAGTTTACTACTTGTTGATTTTAGTCTTGCCATACAAACCCTAATTACTAACATTTATATTGAAAGCGATAAATTGTGGAAATATAAATTTCTACACTATTACATCATTTGAGGATGGGGACACAATTTACAAATGGGGGATGAAAGCAATAAAGTTCTAATTATACTATTACAACCATATTAAATATTGAAAGATAAAATGTGCAAGAATATAAAAGCAATGTGAAAGGAAAAGAAAATTGTTTTTTTATTTATGAAAAGTCTTGCTTTAATTAAACTAATAAAAGAAAAGAATTTAATTAATTAAAATCTCTAAATTCTAATTTGATTTAATTAGAAAAGAAATTCAAAGCAAAAACTAAGTTAAAAATTAATTTAATCAAGAAAATAAATTTGTTAAGAAAAATGTTTTTTTATAGTTTTTAATAAAGAAAAAAACTTAAAAGATGCTACTTTGAATAAATCACGAATAATGAAAATAAAAATATTTTTGGTGAGATTTTTATATATTCATAAAATAGACCTAATAAATTAGTAGTGTGAAAAAAATTAGTTCAAAAGGAGTTAACTTGATGGGTTAAATAAATTGTTGAAGTTTGTTAAAAATGTAAAATGAGTCCAGTGATAAAAATAAGATTTTGGTCCCGCCAAGGCTTGAACTCAAGATATTCAGGTTGATGTATCAAAAGAATACCACTAGGCTAGGTGTGTTTGCTTGTCAACCATGTGCTTGCATGATATTATATGAGAAGATTGCTTCCTGAAATCACAAAAATCACAAAAATAACACAAAATATGCAAAAGGGGGGTTCACTATGGTTCAAACTTGCGCCCTTAGGATAAGAAGTGACATGAAACGCGCGCTGCTTGCCACTGGAGTGGCTGTTACATCCGTTAGTGAAACAACAATCATTAAATATAAAATAAACTTAGATGTAAAAATTTGAAAATAGCCAAGCCCTCATTCTTCTTCCTCCTGCACGCTAACAGTTATTGTAATAACAATATATTCAATTTTTTTTCAAAAAAACTCTAACTTCCTCATTTCTCAACCAAATTCAGAAATGTAAATATGAAACTTGCTTAGAATTTCGCAAGGATTTCAAATATGTAATTAGTTTTTATTTATTCCCACTATAACTCACGAATTTCTACCTGTACCAAACTGAAAACCTAAATGTCCAAAAAATCCAATTTCAAAATTCTCATCCCCCAGTCAATTAAAATGAAATTTAAGGATATGATTAGCTTCATAGACATGATA